GCATGCTAAAACTTGGAGAAATCCACGGAGTCACTGGTGTCTCTGTTACCTTGTTTTTGGACGGCGCGTCCCACGTCCGATGAAGCTGCTTCTGCCCGACGACGGTGGACTGATGATGCGCACCGAAAGGGCTTGCATCATGAGCATCAGCGGGGTTCTGAGGGCCTGGACTAGGAGGGCCCCGTGTTCTGATGCTCATGATGCGGGCCTTTGGGGTGTCCAGTAAAATGCTGATAGCGTATCGCTATCGCTGCTGTCGGCCTCGGTTCGCCAAATGTTACGATGGCAGTCGATACATCGGCTATTGGTCGCTTCCTTTGCAGGTTACATGGGCATCTGTTACGTGGTGGCCAGCAAATTAGTCGGCCAGGTTTGAGCACCCACGAAAGGCTGCGATTTGCTTTGCATCGCCAAGGATGCAGTGCGAGGTGAGCGCGAAGAGGAAGAGGTGAAGGCTCGCTGACTGCCACCAAAGGAATGAGAACTTGCGGTTTGCCCGAAAGGTGGATGCCATGCTTGCAAGGATGGACGAGCTCATGGCCATGGCTACGCACTAAGAGTGAGTTTCACTTCTGCGATACACAAGCTGCGCCGGAGGTGTCGATAGCAACCAGTGACGATGACTTTCGAGAAAAAAGGCAAACTGCGACGTTCTTGGCAAGTTGTCCGTGAGACTGTCTGGAGCTTTGCAAGGCAGCGCATTGCCAAGAAGCTGCGAAGAACGTCCATTGAGCTCATGCGGACGATATCTGCAGGCTTGTGATCCCGATTTGTTGCTGCCACGTATACTCCGATGGTAGCTGGTTGTCGCGAAGCATGTGGGCTCATGGGCGCGATGTTTTTGCTTTTCAACTGGTCCATGTGCACTTCATGTTGTGGCGTCGCTGCAGAAAGTGTGCCGTGGAATGCCAGGAAACGGCAAAGAAGACGACATGAGCGGGAGCGAAGAGTGGGAAGGAGTCCTTTGGCCTGGATATCTTCCCTAAGCCGTTTCGTCAACATCTTCGCTCAGGCATCGGCGATATCCGATTCACAGCGTGCCGCTACGATCAAGGAGCTCTTTCAGCGCTCCCGCGAGGCTCGTGTGCGCTTGAAAGTCTCGGTTGACCTAGAGCACCGGGAGCACCTCAGTGGCTCCGAGAGGCAGACGAAGTTGCAAAGTTGGCAAAGCTCGTCTCCCTGCAGTCCATCCAGCTGGAGGCCTTGTCCGGTCGACGCGACACTGTCCGGTTTGTCACAACGCGGCATGCAATGTAGGAAATCAAAACTTGGTTACGTTCCAAATGTTGGGTCTCTGCAGTCACATCAAGGACTTCCGATTCCCGAGACCTTAATCGGCTGCCTTGCGTGAGCCATGGGTAGTCCAGTGCAGCGTGCTGCAGCAGCTGGAGCGAGGTCCATCTCCGGATGTTCTTAGTGCTGCCTGCTGCAGAACTTGGATGGCACTGAAGCTTCGCAGCGCAGCATGTGGAGATGCCGAGTCGCGTCCGCCCGACTTGGTGCCAGCGGCCACCGTTCAGCTGCTGCAAGTGAGGGTTTTTTGTTCTACACCGGATGATGTTCATGACGCATAGCCAGGGCGAAGACAGGCTGCGTGAACGTGTTTCCACAACCCTGCGCAAGTTTTTGGCCAGAAGGCCATGATGGCAAAAGGTCTCTCACCCCGAATGCTTGCATTTCGCGCTTGGGATCCGTTCGGGCAAGGTACGGGGTGAGAGATCCTTTTGCTGACAGAGCCTGGCGCATCAACCGCTTGGGGTTTGCATGTGTCTGTACAGTCGCTGTAAATTAGGAAGCATATCTGGACCCCACGAGAAGTCCGGAAGAATCCGTCGAGTGCGGCACTGGTGCATGGAGGCGAAACTGAACGCAAGAACGGATACCCACTAAGACTGCGAAAGCTGGACATAATTGGACCAGTGTCTTTGCACAGGTCAGTGGGCAGCGAACCCAGGCAGCCGAACAGCGGTGCGAGGACAGGGAGCAGGAAGTATTTCTAGATTTCTCTTGGGCGTTCATGGGCGTTCCAAGAGAAATCCTTCCCAGTCCCGCTGCACAGGCACTGGAACAGCGTGCCAGAGCTGCAGAACACTGCGTCGAAGCCCTTGAGGCAGAGCTGGCACTGCGACGCCGTCGTGCATCTTGGCCCAAAAATATGTCACTGTGTTCACTGCGTCTCGCCTTTCTTCCTCGACATGCCTCAGACCCCTTGCGGCCTCTTCCGTTTCTAGACATCCCAGCCTCATTGCCTGATGTTCAGGCCGAAGTGCTGGAGCTCCACAGAAGGAGCTACTGTCGGGTCACATCCAGGATGCATTGAGACTGGTCTCTGCGTGCAGGAAGCTTGAAGCAGACAATGTCGAACTGCAGAGACGCCTCCAGAACCTGCACCCCAAAAAGGAGAACAAAGAGGACCTAGCACATCCAGAGTTCCCTGGCCGTCAGTTTCCTCCACTCACCCCGTGTGCATTTGGTGTCTTCATCGTCCTCAGCAAAGCAACAGTTGCTTTTCCAGGATGCTTCCGCCGAGAGTCTGCACAAGCAGGCTACGCAACTCCTTGAAAAGCTAAGCCTCTCGGTTCGGAGTAGGTGAAGCATCCGACGAAACGGCCGCGATGCGTGCGGCGTCTGGGCAACCACTGCACTTACTTGACCAAGGTCAGCCGCGAAGTGGCCATTCACTCGCAGCCGGCTTCATGGTTGAGGCTGCGTTAAAGCCTGCTTGGCCATCTCCGTGTTGATTCGACCTTGAGTCTGAAGGAAAGCGAACAAGTGGATCAAATTGGTCGAGGGAGAGCACAAGGGCTACTCGTCGTAAAGTGGTTCTAGTCACGTCCAGTCTCTACAAAGAACCTGCCGAGGTCACGCGAATTTGCAAGCGGACTCGTCTCCTCCCGGCATCCTCGAGGCGACCCTCTAAGTCATCAGAGGCTCTTGCTGCTGCTTGCTGCGCTTAAAAGGCAGTATCTCGATCGAAGCCCTTGACTTTGAATTTGGGCTACTACGTATCAGCTTGTTGGCTCTCCGTGGGCCCTGTGCTCGCCTTCTGAAGATGCTACAACCCAATGCCCCATCGTCACTTGGAGTCCGTCGATCCTTAGAGCACAAAACACCAGTGCAATAACAGTGCTGGACTCCAAGAGGCGTGAGAATCCAGGTGCCTGTGCAGAGCTTGCGATACACATGCAGCGCAAAATCGCCCAGATCCAGCCTGTGATTTTTTGGCAGGTGAAGTCGAGGTGAGATGGGCAGACTGGCAGTTGCAGTCCGGCGACTTGGATGCACTGATCCAATCCGAAGATGCTGAAGTCGTTGATTTGGCATGATGTGGCCCGTCTACTTCAATACAATGCCCGTCTTAACGCCAGGATTGCAGCTGCAATTTGAGCGAGCGCTCAAAGCCACACCGATGAAGGTTCTTTGGGTTTCAACTAGGCATGCCTGGACTGCTCAGCACTTGCATGTGCATGCAGGAAGCTCCAAACGGGCATTCCTCGGCTCCGACGCCGCGCTTCTCTATGACAGGCCACCAAGAAATTTTCACTCAGGTACCAGGCTATGGCAGGCTTCTTGGGTTGATTGTCCGGCAGAATCCAGGTCAAGGAGTGCTTTGGCTGGCTTTGCTACAGGGTAGCATTGTTCCAGGAGACACGCCTTCACTATAAGCATTTTGCATGCACGCGAAGATCTGCGTGAGCGTGCGACTTCCTGACACCGGCGTATTTCAGTAGTTACAATGAGCTGAAAGTGGCAGGCATTGCTTCTCAGATTCCATTTATTTCAGTTTCCTTGGGTTTGACGGGAAGATCAACCGGCTGCCCGGAATGGTTAGGTTTTGGTCAGTAGGATGGGTGGGTGAGCGTGCGTAGCCCCTGCCCAGACCTGGTGTGGGGCAGAAATGTCAATGGAAGTGATGTGTGTGTGTGTGTAAGCTTCAACCGGGCAGGAGTCCAACAGAGCGCTCGACGAACATTGCCTGCTCGAATCGAGACGGCAAGGCACTTTAACTGTCAGGGCTGTAGTGTGATGTTGGAGCTGCACGTCCTCCAGGAGACCATGGCAGGCCAAAACCTGGAATGTGGCCTCTCCCTGGAAGGGGCGAAGGGAAAGTGAGGGGTGGCAGGGTTGCCCAGTGTCGTCGAACTTGTAGAGGGGAGGCATCTTCATCCTAGCTGCATCGTGCGCTGGCTCAATCGATCTGGCACATCCAGAGGCAACGTAGAGATTGGTGAAGCCCGGCAATTGCCACCCTTGCCCTGATTCAGATGTCCTCAGCTTCATCTCGCAACCTTCTAACACCAACGCAGCTAGGCAGGAATGAGTCGGAAGGAGAGACTGCCAAGGGCGCAGGCCAGCCGCCAGGCGAAGCATTGTCGTAGGTGAAAAGGGGACCCATCGCATCATATTTCATCACGTGATCTGTGGCTTGCAGCGAGGTTACGGCCTCCCCTCGGGTCCCTACGCGTCGCCGAAGGTGACAGCCTAGGACATCAGGAAGCTTCCAAATGGTTTAAGATGTTTACGGCCTTGTCTTCCGGGAAGCTCGGAGCAAGGCCAGGCAGAATCAAGGCTCATATTCGTGAAAACCAGAGATGCTCAACGAGTGTCTGACGTTCCTCATTCCGCAGGCTTTGATTCAAGGCTGACGGCAAAATGCCTATCGTTGTATCTCTCCAAGGGTGCTTTGTTTTCTTGCAGGTGGGCATCGCAGCATTTGCGCGGAAGCGGAGGCATTTCGCATGGACGGTTTCTGGCTCAGCTTGCCTCAACAGAATCGCTGTTTCGACGGTTGCGGCACAGAAGTAAGTGTTGTTTAGCCCTGCCCAGTGAACGGAGGCCCATATGCGAGGAAGGAGGCGGCACGCTGCAGGCCTGGCGTTTCGAGCCGGGCAAACTGAATCCTGGAGTGCAGTTTGCAGCGTGGACCTGGCCAGGTACTGACAACCGAAAACGAGTAGTGAACATGTCACGAACCGGAGACCACCGGCAAAAAGCACCTCACAGAACACAATTGACTCAGTAGCTGTCCGGCTGTGTTGCAGCTCAGGCCTTGCGGCAATTGCGAGTGGCTGTGAGTGCGAGGGGCCGGGAGAGAAGGCGAAAGAGGGGACGCCGACCCTTGGAAGTTTGATAGATCTTTCAGCCAGGAGGCTGGCCTGTGGCATGTGCTGGGTCGGCACCTTAATCAGAGGCTCCAGGAGCCAGCACAAAGCTTCAAGTCCTCCCGCAAGTTGCAATTTCATTCTTGTTCTTTTGCTTGCTAAGGTGTTGGCTGTGGTAACGTGCCGCCGATCTACGGCGAAGCCTGCCAACCATAAAGGAAGCAATAGCAGCAGGTGCCATTCATGTCTTGCACTTCCGCAATTCTTGCATGGCAGAGGGTGACGTAAGTCAGGGTTTGCGTTCGTCCGTCAGAAGACACAACTCATGCGAATTATAAGATGATGCTGAGAAGCACCTCGGCTGTGGCAGGCACGAGTGTGGTTTTTTCATGCAGGCACGATGAGAGCGGCGCCACTCCGGAGGATGGAGGCGAGGACACTGGTGTGGGCAGTGAGCTCAGTTGACTCCACTCTGTGAACCAAGGCCCCATGAATTCGCTGTATGCACCGGGCTACAAGCAAGTTTACCTGGCAATGCGTGAAGCGGGCATGGCTCAAGACTGCCTAATTTCTACAGAGATTCCAATGGCACTGAGTGGCGAAGCCAGCGCGGCCGTCGCTGTTGTCGGTGCAGGTTCTGAAGATGTTGATGGGTTGTACGTCCGCACAAGTCGGGTTTGGCATGATGCCCCAGTGTTCGAGAACGGCCAGAGGTGCATGCTTTCCCGAGAGCCTCATAAGAGCCAGAAAACAGGCATGAGCTCTTATGGGTGGATTATTGGTCAGGACAGAAAGCCCTTGTATGCAGTTCAGTCGGACTCCTTAGTGCCACCAACAGTGGGTTGGAAGAAGTTCACCGGCCTCCTGCCAATCCCACACATTCAGAGCTCGGACTCCTTGGAGGATGCCGCCGAAATGTCGGCGTCTGCCCTGAAAGAGCAGGGAAACGCTCTTTTTGCCGCCCGTTCCTACAAGGAAGCTGCTGCCAAGTGGTCGCGAGCACTTGCTGCTGTGAGTGCCGCCGGCCCCAGCCTGTCAAGCACGCTCATGCAACTTTCAGTCACACTCTATGCCAACAGAGCAGAGTCGCAGCTTAGGCAGGAACACTGGGCTGACGCATTGGATGATTGCCAGGCAGCCCTGAAGCACAAACCAACACATGAGAAGGCATTGCTGCGAGCAGCAGTGGCTTTGAAAAGCCTGCGGAGACACGGTGAAGCAAGGGAGATGATTCTGAGATGCTTAGAGGTTGATGCAAAAAACCAGGAGGCCAAAGGCCTGCTTCATGGTTTGGACCTCGAAGACAATGGTCAAATTCCTGCCAGGGCCAAGGCAGCCAAAGCGGCCAAGGAGAAGCTGCGAGAGACGCTGAAGGGTGACACCGATTTCAGTTCCATCCCACGGGCTTTTGACACGAAGGATGTGAACAACAAGAAGGGCTTTGCCGCGTTTGAGGGCTACGGCAAGCTCCGCGAGAAAGAGGAGCAGGTGCCCATCTCTGAACTACCATATCACAAGATGGGTCTGCCAGATGCGCAAGTGGAGCTCATGGATACATTCTTTAGAGAAATTCGTGCAAGCAAAAAGCAGCAAGCAATGCACCACAAGAGAGAAATTACGAACTATGAGCTTGTCAAGAACGAGTACCGTGAGCGTGTCTTGGAAGACCGGGCTCTCGGGCGCCAGGATCCCATCCAGTTGCATGCTAAAGAGACGAAGGAGGTCAGAGACGCCGATCCGCCATTATGCTTGGTCGTCAAAAAGAAGCCACAGGACCTCGTTGCTGACAGAGTGGGCTTGTCAGGTGCAGACAAGGCAGAAATAGATGCGCTGTTCAGCGGCTTTAAACCCAAGACTGTTTTGCCGTCTCCAGACCAACGAACAAGCCTTGAGAAACAGCTTGATGCCGAGGAGGAGGCAGAAAGAAGAAATCTAGAGAGGCAGGCAGATGAGGAGTTGAAAACCTTGCAAGCCAGCCGAAAGGGGGAGCCGACTCGCTTTGAACAGGCAGGAGGCGAAGTATATTGCTGGTGGACTTTGCCAGCAGGTATCAAGAGTAAGGACATCGAAGTCCAAACGTCGAAGGGCGGAGCGCAGCTGCTGGTTCTGGTCAGAGGCATTACCATTTTTGACCGGCAGCTCTTCCACAACATCCGAGGGGATGACGTTCTTTGGTCTCTGGATGCCGGAGAACTGTCTCTGACTTTGACGAAAGCGGCGCGGAACAAGCTTTGGGATCAGCTCGGAACAGTTTGCGACATTCAAGTTGATGCTAGCGGCAAACCTATTCCTTCAAGTATTCCGGAGCCAATGTCGGCCAGTGACAGGCTTCAGAAATTTAAACAAATGGTGGAAGGTGATGACGGCCACCAGGCGCGGTATGAAGAGCTGGGCGATACTGGCAAGCAGCTTGTTGATGCAATGAGACGGTTTGAGCACGCCCGTGCGACTGGTGATCAGAATGCTTTATCCTTAGCGGAGCACGATTTGGAGGAGCTGGGCCGCGTCGTGATTTAGCACGCAACCATGCGCAAGGCACGTCTTCCGAACTGTTAATGGCAATCCTGTTGCCACACTGAGTGCGGCAATCGTGGAAGTCTCAAAAAATAAACATGCAGCAGTGCGAAGCGTGTCGTTGCCTCCAAACTTGCTCGCCTCTCGACGTGGAGTGGATCGAACAGGCAGAGTCTTTGCTCAGGCTTGGGGCTGAGTTTGGAGTCAACAGGCGCTTCCTGGCATAGCGCAAGTGCTGTAGTCCGAGGCTGCGGGACTACCGTGCAGCATTCGAGGCTTTCACGAAGGTAGCCAGCAGCTTGGCTTCCCTGTGGGCCGGAGAGGACGACGTTTCTGTCTCAGAGCCTGCAGGCACGTTTCGCTTCGGAGGAGGCCTTCTTGGTTTGGCCGTGGCGCTGCCTGCGCATTGGATCTTGTGTCAGGATCTTCACGTGGCACCTTCTCGCTTGCGTGCTCCACTCGGAAGCAGGCCTACATACTTGCCTCAGCCACCGTTTCACGATTTGAGACGTCACGATGTGCTGCTTTTGGAGCGCTTGGAATCGCCCTCAGCTTTCAACTTGCTTCATTTCGAAGGCTGTTGTGTTTTCGGTGCCAGGGTGCATCCATAGGTCGCAGTGGCGGCATCAGTGCAGCTGTCGGCTCGCAGCTCACGCAAGTTCGAGCCCCGAGTTGTCAACATACTTGCTTCAGTTCCCAGGTCATCCGGCGGCTCAACAGCGTCATCAAGCGCCTTCGCCCGAGTTGTTCCATGCTAACTATCATTTTGCGTCCGCCTCTAGAAACTGAAGCCCCGTCCATCGAAATTTCCACTGTGAAGAAGTCCTGGTGGCTCCGGTTGCCTTGTGCGACACGGTCACCTGGTCTTGAGATCCAGGCTCAGTTCGCTAGGCGAGGAGTGCAGGCAAGGCCGGCACGGGAGCTGCTCTATAAACTCCAGACTGATTCCCATGCTTTGACTCGTGTAGGGACAGTTTCCACCAATCGCTGGCATGCGCTTCAAGGCAGTTGCGGCCACATGAAGTCCCAAGAAATCGTGGGCCCAGGCCCAGGCAGCTACACGTGCGACATTGCTTGACTGTGGCTCATTCCCTTCGGCAGGAAGCCTACATAACTCAGACTGCTGGAGCTTCTGGCAGGCCTGTAGCCAGACCGAATGACTGTTCGCTGCAGCAGGGGTCCACTGATCATTGCCTGCCTACCAGCCCGAGCCCCCGAGCCTGAAATGCATTTGCATTTTGCTGTTAGCCATAGCTCACATAATGTTATGTGTCTGGGTGCGAGTGAGCTCGCTGAGCCTGCATGGTAGTCCCTTTGGGCTCGTGCGGCAGCCTAGCATCCAGCCTGGGTTGTAGCTGATGGCGGCCGCGATGGTAGCGACCGCCAGCAAAGTCGGAATTCAAAGTTACTATGCATCTTGGCAACATTGCTACGGCGGCTTCCAAGAACCCTGGCCTAACCTGCACCCTTCGGTATGCTGGCTCAGGACACGAAGATCCAAGAGCTGAGTTCAATCATCAAGGATCGTTTCTTGGCGCAGTGCCATGAGATCCTGAACGAATTCTCACACGTGTTCTGCTGACAAGCTTATCCTAGGAGTCCACTCCACCTAGCTGGGTTTTGGCGATGTCAGCAGATAGAACTACAGTACACGACGTTGCTTCTGACACCAGCCACCACATCCAATTCACCTTGCCGTGAACAGTTTCTGACATTCTGATGCAACTGCTTCTGCAGCAGACGCTTCATGGCTCAGCTTGAGCAACTCAGGCAAGAACAACCTGCGTCGCTTGGAGGCGCAGCGCAATGAACTGAACAGCAAGGTCCGCCAGTTGCGTGTGGGCCCCAGCATGATTCCTCAGGCCGCAGGGCCGTAGTTTGCCATGTAGTTACCTCGGCTTAACTGCTTCTGTTTTGCAGGTGAGGAGCTGCAGCTGTTGCTGGAGCCGGCCTCCAACTGTGGTGAAGTCATCAAAGCCATGGGCGACTTGGCCCAAGTTAGGTCGTACAGTGAAGGCACTATAGCTTCGGAGGTTACACTCTGCTTTAGAAAGTTTCGCCGTGAACACGGGAGGCACGAAGAAGGTGCTCGTGAAGGTCGGACAGGACTGGCTGGATTTCGAAAGCATGCTGGATAGAGGAGACAGGAGAGAGAAAGAATCAGATCGTTTGAGAGCTGAGAAGCGTTCCCCAGGTCCAAGCACTGAGCGGAGAGTCCAAGCTCAAGGGGAACGGGTCATCTCGAGATCGGGGTTTCCGGGCCCTAGCTCCTCTTCAGCCTGGAAGGGAGCGGCGGGAATTGCTCCCGGGTAGTACGAATGCGCGGATCCAGCGAGATCCTCACACATACCCATGAGAGAGAGTGGAGCATCAGACAGTCGGCAAACGTCGTTCTCGCGTGTACCGGTTCAAGCAATAAGAATGAGGTTGAGGCCAATAATTCTGGCTTCTACATACCACAGCTGTTCACCGAATGCTTTTTTTTTTCCAAGTGTGTACCTGAGGAGGGGAAGTATGTGGTGGACATAGACAAGGACATCAAAATCGAGGACTGGTTGCAGGGATCGAAACCTGCTGGTCGCGATGGAAGTATGCGTGTTTGCTTCAGGATTGCAAAGCAAACACCCGGATTGCCCTCACAAGCGACAGCTATGTTTTGCACAAGATCCTTCCAAGCAAGGTGCAAACTCACGCCAGAGAGACCGCGAGCCTATTTTAGTGGACTTTGCTTTCTTGCAGGTGGATCCTTTGGTGCAGCTGATGAAAGTGGAGAAGACACCAGATAGCACCTACGAAATGATTGGTGGAGTGGACAAGCAGATCAAGGACCGAGGTGTTGCGGCTTCGCCTTCGAAGCATTCGGATTTCAATCGTCGATGCATGTGGTCGCTTGGTCACCGGGAGAAGAACAGGAGATTAAGGAGGTCATCGAGCTCCCGATCAAGCATCCAGAAATCTTTGAGTCCTTAGGGATTTCGCAGCCAAAGGCGTGGAGATAGTTCTGCTCCTGATGGTCTGCTGTTTGTGCAATGACAGGAGCCTGCACTCCTTCAATTTCTGATTGGCGTGCCAGGGCGTGCTGCTGTATGGCCCCCCTGGCACTGGCAAGACGCTGCTCGCGCGAGCTGTCGCCCATCATACCAACTGTTGCCACACACCTAGCCGTTGGGGTGGGTGAACACACACACACACCGCATGCATGTGTGTGTACACTTGAAACGGTGTAGGCTTCATCCGTGTCTCGGGCGGCGAGCTTGTGCAGAAGTACATTGGTGAAGGCTGAGAAGGGCCCAGATGGGTTGAGGCTTTGGCAGACCAGTTGTTTGCTTGTGCAGGTAGCCGAATGGTGCGTGAACTCTTTGTCATGGCACGTGAGCACGCGCCGACCATCATCTTCATGGACGAGGCTGCAGCGAGCGAAGACTCGAGCGGCTTTCGTAGCTGCCCACCGTGCCCGCCAGGTAGACTCCATCGGATCCTCCCGCGTGGAGGGTGAATCAGGTGGTGATTCGGAAGTGCAGCGTACAATGCTCGAGCTTCTCAACCAGCTGGACGGCTTCGAGGCTGTCTTGACTGTTCGGGCGTTCATGTCTTTCTGCTGTCCTTGTGGCTGGAAGCACCAGAAACTAGCGGGCTCGCAAGCTTGCAGAAGGAAAGCTTAACTCCGAAGTGCCCAGCTGTTCCCAGAAGAGACAGTATCACAACAGCCGCTTGCGAGATCATATCTTCTAAAATTCTAAACGTTTCTTAAACTTTTTGGAGGGCACTAAGCAACCTCCCTACTGTCGTGTGCTGCCTTGGTCTGGTCTGTGGGTCTGTGTCATCTCTGCGCCCGTCACTCCTTTGTAGTTTTCTGGCCCGTCTGTGTGTCGGTGTTCGGTGTGGTATCTTTTTACGATGTTGTCTGTATAATCTGTATATGTCTGCCCTCCGGTCTTTCATTGCGCGTCCTGAAGGCCGGTCTCTGCGAAGCTGTCGTTGCGTCGGTCGTATTCCTCCGATGGTAGTTTTAGTTTAGGTATGCTCACAGCTTCCCTGCCTATGATGCGCCTGGTGCGGTGCTCCTCTTCCGCGTGCAGAAGCACTCTTGACAGACTCCCGTTGCTTCGTCCACCCCCTGGTGTGGTTTGGAAAGAGAGTGCACCGTGCAAATCGTATTGCGCAAACAACCTGCCCCCGCAAAGACAACGACGGGCATGCAGACCACGACTTCGTGCGAGCCACTGTTGCCGCTTTTAAGATGCAAAGTTGCCCGGCATGTCGAAAACTTGCGTCACGAGGAATATGACCCCATTTTCCAGCATTGGCATTGCTACATAGTCGAGGCGATCTCAGCCTCCGAAAACGAGGACTGTGACGAGGATGTTGTTGTGACACAAGGACATGGGAGGAAGTGGACTGGGGGGAATACTACCGGGTGGGTACAGGGCATCTTTTGTTTATTTCAGACCTTTCTTTTCCTCTTTTGGTAGGACTACTGTAGGACTGATCCCCCTCCGCTATGCTTCTGTGTTTTTGCTAGTTTTTGCCACAGCGACTCTCTTTAGGTTCTTCTTTGAGGGTCTTGCACAAGTTTGCCAAGCTAGCGGCTGCATCATTACTTGCTTGGGACAGTTCAGTGTCCAGGCCCGGGGGGTTTTGTCGCCCAGATAGCGCGCCATCACCCTCTCTATATGCTTTCTTTTCGGTGACAACGACAGAGCATGTTTACAGATCCCAGGTAGATCGACAAGGTACTTTACACTGTTTGCAATGTTTTGAAGGTTTTTCACAATCGACTATTGTGTGCTTTTCCCAGCCTTTCATGTCGGCTTGCCATGCAAGCAGTCATGTATCGCTCAGGAGAGCATGAGTCAAGTAGTTTGGTTTGATTTCGTGGCAGACAGTCTGTGCATACCTCTTCGGAACGGTACTGCTGTTGGGTTGGACAGCGTGCAGCTTTGTATGGACAGCAGCGTGCAGCAAAACGTGGCAATCGTTTTGATGTCTTCGGCGTGTTCGGA